CCCCCGTCCTCGCAGCACCTCGTCCATGCCTGTTTCCGAGTGTAAACCGTTCTGTTTTCCTTTACAGATTCCCAACTGTGGCGGTTAGCATTGGATTTGCTGTTCACCAAGAGGTACAGCACGTGGCTCAGGTCCCCGGGGGTTCCTTAAATCAACCTTCCTTTTTGGCTTCCTCCTCTGCCCTCCCGTTTTGCTCTTTGCCCTGTGCCTGAATCATGACTAGTAAATCGAAGTATGTGTTTTTCAAATTGAGAAAATAACAAGTGCCGACTGGTTCGGGGCATGTAGGTTCAGGGCTCTGTGGTCAGCCCTCACCTCCACGGTGGCTGTCCTCATTTCCACTGAGGCCTTTTTGTACAGCTGCCGTGGAAGGGGAGACCCTGAGCAACCATCCAGTTAGCGTCCAGCTGACCCCTAGAGCGTGTGATCTCATCACAAACTAAAAGGAGCTCCTATTTTTGGAGAGCGTTTTTAATCTCAATATTCTATTAATTCATCTTTATCTCCCTCTGGCCATTAGGATGAGAAAGCGGTTCTTTCAGGGTTCCCAGAGACCTTCTGAACTAAGCATTATCATGGGACCTTTGTGAGAGGCACGTGGTCAACGTTTAAACTTTATTAATCAATTCAAGCCATAATGCTTTGGAGAGCCTTAATTTCTTGGTAGTTATGACAGTTCTGTTTAAATAGGGCTAGAAGCTCAGTGCTTCTCAGTAGCAGCCCTCCTCTACTACAGTCTTTGTTCATCTTAATCCTTGAGCTTAGCACAGATGGCCCAGCATGGAAGCTTAGAAAAGTTTATACCCATCTCAGAGGACTGAAGTTGAAGATAAGTAAGAATTTTAATACAGGAATTTGGATAAGGACTTCATAACTTGCTTGTTTCTCTGTTAAACGTCACTGAGACCAGTGACCATGGGAGGATGGGCAGTCCTCAGGGGTTGATGCTCACGACCGGCATCTTCCCAGTGACGGTGAGACGGGGCTCCCTGAAGGCCGGCCAGGTCCTCAGCCCACCTAGGGGTCTGCTTGTGACTGTTCTGTGTCCTCAGCTTGTGGTGGGGTCCTTATTAAAGACAGTCTCCCCCATCCACTCCATCCCTGGAGTGCAGGATGAGGACATTTCTCTTGTTCCTGGGGCCCACCACCATAAACCTTAGAGACCAGCACAATTTGAGGATTGATCTGGATTTGGGAATCCTCTTAAAGCCAGGGTACTGGAAAGGGGAGGTACTTAGTATTACTAGAAGGCCGCAGTCTCAAAAACTGGAGACTGTATGACCCTCCCCCCACCACCACCTTACTCTAGAAATACCTCTTTCTGTAGGCTGAGGCATCCATTCCAGTGTAGTTGAGCTCACCCCAGGCTGGCGAAGACTTTCCTAAGGCATTTGTCCTGGATCTTTTTTTATTTCCTAGAGAGGTGAATACTTGGCTGACCCCCAGGTCTAGCATACTTGCTCCTATTAGCCCCAATAGTGAAGGGTTGAAGAAAAGGTGCTGCCAGGGAGGTGACAAAGCACGTGGCTGTGAGGTTGCATCACTTTTCACATTGACCTCTCATTGGAAGTCTGTCACAGATGCTTTGTCACCTGATTAGGACAGAGAGGCTGCTGAGGATGCGTCTCTCTTCCGTGAATCCCTCCTCTCTTCTGGGATTTCCTTGGGGTCCTGTGAGTCTGCTGGCTGTATAGACGCATTCTTAATTCTTCACACATCAGCAAGTTTGAGGATTCGTTATGAAATTTGATTAGTGTCACAAGCAGCTTTTTTTTTCCAGTTTAAAAAAGAAAGAGACTTCATAAAAATTATGCTTTTTCAGTAACTTCTGGTTACTAATGCTTGATTATGATGTTAATTTTAAAAATAATTTTATTAGTCTCAATATAGTCTTAATATAGCTCTTTTATGTAAAAGTTTGCTTTTGTGTCTAGGTTTAGTTTTAAATCAAGACACTAATTTTTTTTTCCATCCTGTTTTGGAAAGTAATTTTCAAAACTTTGGAAGTCACCTTGTCACAGCACTGTCCTAACACTCAGAGCAGCTGTCACCGTTGAATGGCTCCATGGTCATCCATGTCTAATAGTGAACTGTGTGTTTTCTGTCCCACCTCTGCACCCCGCAGCTCGAATTCGGAGTGATTTACCACTGCACAGAGGAGCGGCTGTACACAGGCCGGAGGGGGCGCGGCGCCTTCTGTAATGGCCAGCGGCTGCGGGTGTCTGGGGAGACAGGTAGGGCTCCCTGCAGCTCGTCTCAGTCCATTTCAGATGGAGAAGTGACAGTGGGAAATGCCACACATGTCACCGTCATGTGGGAACATGGGGGAAATTGCCTGCCGTCGGTTCCATCTCTTCTTAGAGACATTCTGTCCCTGATGACCTGGAAATGGAGCCAGTTCTGGATCTTAATGTTGTTAATGTGGCCAGGAGCTTTAAATAGTCTCATTCCATTTTGCACGTACATCTTTCATCTTTAAGGCCAAAAGAAATCCAGGCTCCAGTTAGGGTTTGGCTTCTAGTGGGATGGTGTCTTGTCCAAGGCCAGAGACAGTCAGAAGTACACACTGGCCCTCCAAGTGCCCAGGCATGCCTGATGTGCCCTGGGTGCTGTGCCCAGGTGCAGCGTACGGGTCCCTCAGTGTAGACTAGCCACAGTTGGCCTCAGTTTCTGTGAGGAGGACAGCCATGGGCATGAGTTGGGTGAGTGGCATTTCTGTGCACCTTAGCCCTACCACTGTGACTGTGGCTGCCCTTATTTTCCATAAAGCAGAACATCAAGGACATCCAGTAGCTTTTAGAACAGGGCCACTGTTACACGCAAACTGCCTGGAACTGCCTGTCATTAACAACTTGCCAGTTTGGTTTTTCACAACTTTTTTTGGCCTCTCTCCTGCATTGATTAAGCTAGTGATATTTCCTTGCATCGTGGGACAGGTCCTGTCGAGGACAGAAAAAGGTCAGGCAGATAAAGAGAAGGAAGGGTCCCAGGCTAGAAGCAGCTGGGCAAGGAGATGATTTCATTATCCTCTATTTATTCCACCATCTCTTCCTCCCTGACTGGTGCCTACGTGCCTGGATGGCCTCAGAGGAATCAGGCGTGTCCTCCTTCCACTCCAGTGTGTACCATAGTGAGCCTGTGCACCTGCCTGTCCAGCACAGTGGGACCTGTTGCAGATCTGACCTGTTAGGAGGTGGCCCACCACTACATGAAGAATGGAACAGACAGGACATAGAGAGAAGAGCTGGCTTCCACAGAGGCCAGGAGAGTCCTGAGCAGGGAACTTGAAGGGAGATCCAGCAGGATGGACTAAGCAGTCAGTGCTTCAGAAGGCGGAGAGGTGTCAGGACGGCTTCCAGCCTCCCTCATCTCTCCACTCTCAGAGTGTTTTGTTTGGCTGCATATAGAGTAGTGTTAATTCCAGCTTTGCATGCCAAGAAGCAACCACTCAGGCCTAATTGTGTAACACAGTGGTGAGGAAGCATGTTATTAAACCTGCCCAGGTGACCTTTGCTCTAGATTTCATTTGATTCTAACACTAAACCCCATTCACACACACTTGGCTTCCTGCTTGGCTGCCAGTGTGGCTCCTTCATGCCGTGCATGCCCTTGGTGGGGCTCAGAGGCCTGCTTGCTCATGCACTGGCTAATGTCAGTCCACCAGGGACTGTGTGTGGTCACCACTGTGTCTGGCCCTGTAGGCACTTCATGACTCAATAGAAGGACAGAAGCCCCATCCCACAGGGTTCTTCACTCAAACCCTGTCCTCCCCGCCCCTCTGTGCACAGCCATGCTATGGTTCTTACGTCTCTCCAAGTGCTTGTGTTCCACGGCACATGTGTGACTTGAGGCATTCTGACTTACGAAGTCCAGTGTGTGGTTTCCGACCTGGTCGTTTTCTTCCGTCTGGGTGACTGGATTCCTAGAAGACGTGATAGTGCGTACTTGTTGGCAGCACAGACTCTCAGGATGCCATGCAGCCCTGATTTCAGATCCTGATTCGGATCCTCCTGGACCAGCAGGAGGCATGGAGGTTAAGGTGCTGGATCCCACATGGCCTATTGCATGGTTCAAGTCCTAGACCTGGAGGCTTGAAAATCATGCTGGATGCATGTGCATACGTGTATAAAAATACCAAGAAGAGAAGGGGTTACGGCATGATCATCCCCCTGGGGGGGTGATGATTTCTCACTTTCTCTCTCTCTGGTGAGTGCACACACCCTCTAACAAAAAAAAAATTTTTTTTTTTTTAAATGATCCTGATGATGCCACCTCCTCAACCTTGTGACTTTGGCAGCCTCTCTGAACCTCAGTTCTTATGTTCAGAATGGAGATGATGATAGTAACTGTGAGAATTAAATCATATTAAGTATATTAAGTTCCAGCATAGTACCTGGGACATAGTATCCAAAGGAGAGCCAGCATCAAAGAAACTTGGGTCTTTGCACAAGATTAATCACGTTCTGACATATCATCGAACTTAGGATGCATTTCTGAGAGGAACTGCCACTCACCTTTCCCTCTGTGCTTTCTTTTCCCTCCCCTTTCTTATTCCTATTACACCTTTCCAGAATGTCTTTAATTCACCATTAAAAAAAAAAAAAAAAACTTCACTGAATAGAGGTAAAGGATTATATGGCGGCAGAATTTCATTATAGCTTTTTCTTCAAATCCCACCATGCAAAATGTCAGATCCAGAGAAAGAAGACAGAACATGTACACTGAACCCCTGTGCCCCGTCCTACCAGCTCACAGCCAGTCCTGCTTACCTGTACCCCAACCCAACTCACGATTCAAGGCCCAGATGGCATATCACTTTCTAGCCAATATTATGTGTGTATCTCTGAAATATACAGACCAGTTACTTAAAAAACAGATTCATAATACCAGTATCACTCCCCACCCAAAATTAATTATTCTTCAAAGATTCAAAACCCAGCTATGGGAACCAGCAGTTGGCATAATGGCTATGTCGCTGGACTCCCATGCAGTCGACCGTATTTTGAGTCCCGGACCCAGTGGCTTAAACTCACGCCGGGCGTGTGTGTATGCGTGCCCAAGATCCTGAAAGGAGAATGGAGGAGAAGGGATTGTGGTGTGGCCATCCCTTCGGGGGGTGCTTTCTTACTTTCTGTCTCTCTCTGTCTTTCTGGTGAGCACAAGGCCCTATAGCAAAAACTTCTCAAAAAAAAGAAAAAAAAAAAAGAAAGAAAAGATCCAGCTATGGCAGCATACAATGGCGCAGCACTCAGAGCGTTGGAGCCACAAGGAAGACCAGGGTTCTGATCCTGGGTTGACTGAAACTCCAGCACACACATGTGCATGCTCATGATCATGGCTGGCTAGAGGAGCGAGGGGGATCATGGTGTGGTGGGCACCTGTGGAGGAGCCTACTTCTGTTTCTCTCTCATGGAAGAAGTAAAAGAAATAAAGCTACAAAACTATTTAATAACAAGTCAGAGTTCAGTTATCTCATCTTATAGAAAATGGTCTTCAGGGTTGGCCCCAGGGTACAGTGATAACACAATGCATAGGGAGCTGGATCCCATGTGTCTAACCCAGGCTTGATTCCCAGCTACCAATGGCTTGAAAATCAGGCCGGGCATGTATGCATGTGTGCCCAACATCCTAACGGGATGGAAAAATGAAGGAAAAAGAATGGCAGCATGACTATACCCCATGGGGGGTTGCTTTCTTTCCCCAGCTCCTTCCTCTCCCCCCATGGTGCATGCACACTCTCTGGCAATTAAAAATAATAATAAAAAGAACACCTTCCAGAGCCTTGGACTAGAACTTGTGGTAATTACTGCTCCTGGGACAGTCTTTGTTGCTAGGCATTTTCAGGCACAGAACTTTTTAATATCAAATTCAGGGTCTGCCCTGAGGTTCAGGGAGGCAAAACCCACACAACTGACTGAGGTTCAGTCTCAGGCCCAGCAGCTTAAAAAATAGGCTAAGTGTGTGTGCATGTATGCCCAGAATTCCAACAGGATGGAGAAGTGGAGAAGGGATTGCAGTATGGCCATGCCCTGTTGGGGGTGTTTTTTCCTCTCCCTCTGTCACCTCTGCCCCATCTCTGTCTCTGTCTGGCAAGTACACACACCCACTGGCAGTTAAAAATAAATAAATGGGGCTAAGCAGAGGCGTAGTGGTAGAGTGGTTGGGTCCTACATGGCCGACTGTGCAGTTCGAGTCCCAGACCTGGCAGCTTAAAGGACAGGCCCGGCATGTGTATGGGCGTGCCTAAAATCCTGAGAAGAGAAGGGACTGCAGTTTGACTCTCCCTCCTACTGGGATGCTTTCTCACCTTCCCTCTCTCTGTCTCTCCAGCAAGCGCCCTATAGCAACTTTTAAAAAATAATAATAATAAAATTAACTTAATAAATAAATTCGTCCTGAGTTCATACTGATGTTTATGAATCTCATTCATGACTACATCCCCTTCTCTTCCTACTGTGTGAAGTGCATTTTCTGATTTCTCTAGCCTTGTGATCTCAGGACCAACCCATTTAGACTCCCCAAACAGCTATTGAGATATCTGTGGATCTTTGAATTTCAAAAACAGTTCATCTTGTTCATGATAGAGAGTGCATCTGTGTGCGTGAGAGAGACACACCCTCCACATGGTCTCATCATGTCGTGATCTGCTTCTCCCAGCCCTCCAGCCCATCAGGATTGGGGCATGTGCATGCACCCTGCATATTTCAGCTCTACCTGGCCAGGGACCCAAACTCAAGATCAGATGTGTGGCTGCCAGCACTGCAGCTCAGGCCACTGACTAAGCTACTGAGGTTGGGCCTCTATCGATGTTTCTATATTAGATGTTTAAACTTAAGAAATCTTGAAACTATTTATTCATTTTTAATGAAAAACTCATTATATCTTGACATGAATAATGTATTTTGATGGAAAATAATCATATTTCCTGAAACAAAAAATTTGTAGTCAAGAGAGTGGCATCATTTTGTATTTTTTTCAGATCTCTGAATGTCTGACTTAACTGGAATCACATTATCTGTGTCAGTATTCAATCTGTTGTAATTTATCGCTTTGATGTGTGAAGAGAATCCGACCACGGACATGTAGTTGAGAAAGAAGGGAGTGTTTTCATTGATTTCTTAGGTAATTGAGGATATTCTTCTTTGATACTAAACCTAAACTCAACAAGTTGTTGTTTCTTAAAGGTTAGCTGTAATGGAAATTTAATATCATAGCAGTGAATCTTTCAATACTC